AGTCCTCTATGTAGCCATCTAGTCTACCAGTCCATCTATCTAGTCTAATAGTCCTCTATGTAGCTATCTATTCTACCAGTCCATCTATCTAGTCTAATAGTCCTCTATGTAGCCATCTAGTCTACCAGTCCATCTATCTAGTCTAATAGTCCTCTATGTAGTCATCTATTCTACCAGTCCATCTATCTAGTCCAACAGTCCACTATGTAGCTATCTAGTTTACCAGTCCATCAATCAAGTCTGCCAGTCAATCTAAAATCTAGTCTGCCAGTCCATCTAGTCTATCAGTCCATCTTATCTAGTCTGCCAGTCCATCTAGTCTATCAGTCCATCTTATCTAGTCTGCCAGTCCATCTAGTCTATCAGTCCATCTTATCTAGTCTGCCAGTCCTCTATCTATTCTACCAGTCCTCTATCTAGTCTACCAGTCCAAATAACAAACATTGAACTTACAATTTATTGAACCTGTTCTCTACTTACGTTCATAGTCTTACAATACACCACCTATTTTTTTCTTGTTGTAACAAGTGCTATTTTTGTCAGTGTGTCTAAGACCACCATCTTATTCCTGCTGCATCTTATATATATAGTAAGTTATAAACTATAACAATCTAGCTGTCATCTAAACTRTAACAATCTAGCTGTCATCTAAACTATAACAATCTAGCTGTCATCTAAAACAGATGCTTTGTGCTGAATGGCTGACTTATATTCCTACTGTGATGATTGACAGTTCAATTGGTTGACAKACCTGATTAAATGTTTGTCAGGCCTGCTGGCAAGGTCATGTTTGTGGCCCAAATCCAGATTTCTGGAGGTTTTTGTTTTTATACAAAGTGGAAATTCACCCTGACATCACCCTATCAACAAGTAACATTGCACAAGATTCGTTGAGTAGATTTTGACAAGATTTAGTATTTTGTACATGAAGACATGATGCCCTGTGAAATGGTAAGTAACTACCAACGTGATGCTGAAATACACCATTTTAATGATCAGAATATTAACCATATGATAATAATAAGTGCTAAAATCCCCTGGAATCTGGAATCCAGCAGATTGATTGTTTTAAACAATAAAAGATTTAATTTCTTGGTATTCTACATCAAGTGTAAACAATAAGCATGTCTTCTGGATGTAACATCTCTGGGCTGTCAATTAAATAGCTATGAGTACATCTTGGGTAAACCATCTAAACATCTAAATCCAACATCTTATTGATAAATTGCCCAATATTTGATATTCTACTAACAATTCTATTGTTGTTGGTGATTAACACAGTCCTGGTTATATACAAACAAGGGTTAGCAATAATATTGTAATATCAGAAATCAACTGATCAACCTGGTTGCACATCATGGGATTCTTGCTAAAACGAAATAAAAATATAAATATATATATATCACTTTCTTACTATCATTATCACTATCGCCATCCCCATCACTATCATTATCACCATTACCATCACCATTACCATCACTATCACTATCGCCATCCCCATCACTATCATTATCACCATTACCATCACCATTACCATCACTATCGCTATCGCCATCCCCATCACTATCATTATCACCATCACTATCACCATCACTATCACCATCACTATCGCCATCCCCATCACTATCATTATCATCATTATCAAATATCTTATGACATTATAAGCTGCTTTAAACAATATTCTGTCATTGAGACAGAAATCATTTAAACAAAAGTGATTAATGTAAAGCCTAGTTTTTTCTTTTAACTAACAATGATATCTATTTTGTTCTTACAGAGCAAAAGAACAAGAAAATCAAGAAAGTCCTGTAGTATACTGTGAAGCCGTGGTCTGGCTTGTTAGTGACTGATTATGAACTATTGTATCACAGCTGGAAATGACTCTATGATAGATAGCAATTAGCCTCTAGTCATAAAACATGTGACRCTAAAGTACTGTAGCTTTATGAGGGAATGAAGACAATTTACTGTCTTGCTATGAGCTGCTATGGATGATGCTAGCATTATTAAACTAGGATAGATAAAAAGAGAATATTTTCAATTAGAATCATGATAAAGGTTAGACTTTAATATAGAAATTAAATATAAATAAAATATTAGAATAACACAGTTTCTCCTATCTTGGATGCAAGGATAGCCGAGCAGTTAAAATGCCATTGTATCAGTGCTGTGGTCCTGGTTTGATTCCTGGTCCGGGACTATTGTGATTTGATTTTGTAGGCTGGTTCTCTTCCTTGTTCCGAGGGTTTTTCTCCAGGTCYGCTTACTGTAGCATCCCATGACGCACTTGTTGGAAGTTTCTTGTGAACAATTCATTGATAAAGAAACAAAAGACAAATCAGTTTCATTATTATTATTTATTAATTATATTTAAAGTATTAGATAATTTTATTACTATTCAAATATTTAATATTTCTATTTATTTAAGCACAGGTGTGCACTCCAAACCATCTTGCGCACAGTGAAGTCAGCACTTATTTATGTTGTTTAGTTGTGATGTTTGCTTTGCATACAATGATGACTTTCTTACAGTGAAAGCACCARCAAACAAACCAAATAATTACACAGACTCTTCAGCATAGCAGATTATGTAGACTGTTGGAATACAAGAGTAAATGCTGTAATTATGGTTAAAATAGTTTGTAAGAAATGATTTCAAAATGTAAGTCATATGTAGAGATGAATGTCCTCTTATGATGTGATGGTAATATTACAATTAAATTTATTATTTTGTAATAATTAATAATAATCAACAGCTATAATAATTGCTGTCATTTTTTATTCTATTTATTCATGTATAATATACTTCTTTTAGTGTATTTATTTAATGTTTTATAATTGTTTTATACTTGTTCATGACTGCTCACTATTTCTTGTTATTTAGTATTTAGAGTTCCATGTTTTTATTTTTCACAGTAATGTTTGTAAATTGTCTATCAATAGAAATAAATTGTGTCATCAGTGATGTGTCTTCTGCGTTTTTTCTGTTTTTATTTGTTTTTATTTTTTTAATGAATACATTTTTTATCTAATTTTGTTTAGTGATTATAGTTATTACCTTGATAAAGTTCTATATCTTAATTTGAGTTAATTATATCTCTACATTTCTGTTTTTCTTTATTATTCAATCAACATCATGTTCATATCTGCCGTATGTCCTATTGTTATCTTCTTGTGATATTGTCTGTGTGTTATCCGTCTATTTTACTAGCAGTGTATACTATAATTGTATTACATATACTCATGTCGTTCCAAATTTTACATCCACAGCCATTAGAAAGGAAATGCTCTCTTACTTCTGGTGTAAGTAAACCTGTCATAGTATTATTATTGTATGTGTACTTTTCCTGCATGGGTAATTATTATAATAATTATTGTATTACAACAGGAAGATGATGATCTTTTCCCAGTCAATAGCAAGACATCACTAGAAACATTGAAAGAAGATGAAATCCATACAAAGGTTTTGTTGCCTCTATGTTTGCGTATTGTGTAGCTATTTGTTTGTGCAAACAAAAAGGATATTTCCAGAACTGAATTCTTATTTTTCTTGCTTGGTTTGTACTTCTAGTCTAAGTCACCTGAACCAAGRTCAAGAAAGTTCTCTACTGAGAATCTTGTCTTGATAGAAACAGAAGAAATCAAGTTTGAAGAAGCACTTGAAGCTAAAGATGACGACATCAAAGAGAGCATCATATACTTCCCACAATCACAGGACGACTTAGAGACAGA